TATATTTGTACTATATTATACAGTTTCAAAATAATTGGGTTATTGTGTAGATTTTGATAAAATTTCTTAAATACTTATATTTCCCCCTTCTCAATTAATCATCATTATTATAACTTGATTTGTCTTGCAGGCCTAATTTCTATTTTTAAGCACCTTTCTTTAATGCTCTTAATGTATTTTCTTTTATTTCATTTAGCTGTGGGCATCATGGATAATTTGATAAAAACTATGACATTTCCCCTCATAAATGTGCATACATAAATAATTTCATACTATTTCATTTTCAAGTTGAGGAATGACAGCCAAATAAAATCATTCATGGATCATCACCTTCTTTCCTAAGCTGAAAACAACTCTAAGAGATAGATGTCAATATTTCAGTAAATTTAATATGATCATCAGAAATAAAGTGACAATAATGCTAGAATTAACAGAATGTCAAACATTATGCTATTTCTTCATCAACCATAACTTACCTTCCTTTACTTCACTCCCTTTCTATCACCTTGCAATTCGTGTCATTACAGAAGGATTTCAAGAAAAGGGAAATTAAGTTTTATCTGAGAAAGTGACAGTGCAGTTCAATTGAATATACCACACTGTTTTTTATTGCTGAGTTTTCCTAGAGAAGACATATATTTGAGAAGTCTTTTAAAACATTCCAAAAGCTACAACAGAATAGTTCTTTCTCACCTTGTCCATACATAGAACTTTTCCTTCTAAATGTTTACTTTGGTGTGTATTTTACTGATCAGAATCAATCAAGAATGGTCAGACTGCTAAAGCAAAGTAAGCAAGGATGGATGGGTCATGCTTACACATGCTCCAAAATATTGAAGGTCTCAGCTCCAATTTAATAGAAACACATACATAGAAATTATAAATGTCTACAAGGTTTTGAAGCAGCCTGACATATTGGGGACAATGGATGCAAATAATTTCTGTTTAGGCTTATGTGAGATCAGACATTTTATACACACACACATGTGTACATACACACATGTATGTGTGTGTATGTATACATATATAACATATACTTGACATAATTTAAATATATATAATATATTCGATGTACCACGGTGCTAAGTTTCTTAATACTTACCTCTCGAGGTATTGTGAGGATAAATGATGATGCAAAAATGTACCTGCCATCACTTATTTATTGTTCGTCCATTACTTAATTTAGTCAATAGTTATTAAATAGTTGTCATGTGCCACATGTAATTCTAATAGCAGTGAGGGGGGAAATCACATATATGATTACTCCTGATGTGTAAGATCATATTGATAAGTAATATCTACAGGAACTCATGGAAGAGGTTCTAATAGCTCCTATGATTCAGCTATGCTTGTTAACAGATCAAATAATCAGAAATGTATTTCTTTGCTGAATGCGTGACTTTTCAAAAATTAATAATGGAAGTGATATCCTGATACTATAAAATATTTTTGAGTTAATGTAAAATAGTCTAACACAAAATTTGATATACTCCATTAAAAACAGTCTAATTTAGATTTAAAATTTTTGACAAACAATGAAAAGGTGTTTTAACGGTCAGAATTACACTACAGAACAAAATTATTTTTCAGTTTCATGTCTTAGAAAGCTTATTTAACTTCAAATCTGTAGTCTCAAGAAATAGAACAGTCTGCTCCCATCAAAATCCAAGCATCGTTCTGGAATTCATTTCCTTATCCCTACATCACAGATATGCTTTGTTTGTAGCTTTTGCTTGTAGCTTTCCCAAAATTGAAAATATTTCAACAACAAATTATGAAACATTGTATTTTTCAGTTGTATATTAACTTTGTTGGTAGAAGGGACAATTTTTAAGCTTAACTTTAGATGCATATTTCTAAAAAATTATGACGGCTCCAGAAATTTTTATATTATTCCCATGAAATGATTGCTTAATTATTTGAAAAATCAACTGCGGTCACGGCAGCTTACAGTGGACGCTAGGTGGTCTCCAGTCGCCACCTACTCAGTATGTCAATACAGTCTGCCTCTGTGGAGGTGCGCTTCTTTGAGAAAATCTGCTCTTTTTCTTTTACTGTTTAAAGCTAAATGTATTCAGAAGTTATTTCATCGTTGAAAACTTTAGCCTCATTAGTATGGTATCTTAATGCATTTTAGTGTTTAAAGTCCTTCAAGTGACCTACTTGGCACCTACTTTTAGATTAAATGCCAAAGCAGGGGCTATCTGCATTAAAATAAAGTGTCAAATGTGGTTTTTAACCAAAAATCTTAATCAAGGCCAGTTTATGGAATATTTAGAAGAAAATGTAATAATTTGCCATTTCAGCCACCTCCTCCCCAACATATAATGCACTGAACTTGACAATATAAACTCTCTCAATTAATGATGAGGAGAAAACTGTGAATATGATTCTTTTCCATGGCTCAAAAAAGTGGTTCTCAGACTTGGGTGTACACCAGAATCACCCTGAATGATATTCGAAATACAGATTGCTGAGTTCTAATCTGGAATTTTTTCAGTCAGTAGTTCTAGAGTGTGGCTCAATAAATTGCTTATCTAATGAGTTCTGGGCTAAAATAAATGGTGGAAAAATATATTAATTTCTGGTGTGATGTTTAAACCAAACTCCTGAAATGTTATATGGCAGGTAGTTATGCTTCTTTGCTACAGGTAAGCTATATTATTACATCTTTTGTTCTGGTCATGGTGGCTTAGCTAATCAAATGACTCTCCTGTAGATGCAACAGCAGGTATGAGCCATTTTTGCATAGATTACTTGGAAATAGTATGAATGGTATCAATTATGGGAGCTTTATCCGCAAAGTGTACTGTAGGAATGCATTTAACTATGACTGATCTCTGCTCGAGAAAACCAAGACATCTTCTCTTCATTTGCCCTTATTCTTCACATGCACTCACACGCTTCAGGAGTTACATCTTCATGGCTACACCTGGGGTTAGAAGTCCTATAGAGACAAGACTGAGTACACAGAGAAGAAGCTGCTACATTTGCTCACAAGCAATGTTTCTCCCTTTCTTCTTTATAATTGCCTGAAAGAAGGCTCCATCAAAGATAGTCATTCCCTTGACTTTTTAATATGAAAATCCAGCACAGCTGTTCTGAGATGAAGTGGTCAACTCATACTTTTCTGTTAAATATTTTTACATGCAGGAAGTCCAAAGGAGTTATTCATGTTTCAAACCTAGTACCCTTGTACTTCATGTTGATTTTTATGAAACTAGTACCCTAGGGCCTCTCTCTACACTTAAATGTCAAGACAAATGTGCTATGTGTTTAGGTATAGTAAATGTAATTGCATTCTCCTTTAATCTGATCATGTTGGGTCATTAAGTGACAGTTGTTACAAGTATATACGTATTTATCCAAGTGCCATGTCATCAATAAATAGCAATGACCCTAGTAAATACAGTAATAATAATGATGATGACTAACATTTTATTGAAAATTTACTAGATATCAGATACTGTCAAAAGATTTATATGAATTTAAATCCATAATCAAAACAAACCTATGAAAAAAATATTCTTTGCATTTGTATTTCTGGCATACAAGAAAATGAAGTTTCGGAGACTAAAGGAAACCCTTCAGTGTCACACAATGAGTCACAAATAGAGCTGTGACTTTCATCTTGTCTGACAAGCTTAACTCCAGAGTCCTTTTCCTTGATGACTATCACACTGTCTTAACCATGAGTTACATTTTACACTATTTTATTGTTTTGTCACTCAAGCTAAGTTCAATGTTAACTAGTTAGAAGACGTTATAACTAGACAACAAAGTCCTTAATAAAAATCAAACACAAAGCAATGTTCCATTTTGAAAATGGATACCTAGAAACTGAAAAAAAATATTTTATTTTTGCCCCAAGCAAATTTAAGGAATTTCCCATCATATAACACGTGCTTGATATAAAGCAAAGACCCCTAGCTGCTGAAAGTTCTGAAACTGTGGTTTTTACACTTGAGTGGTAAGTTAGAAAGCAAAGATGATCCTTCTTAAAATGCAGTAACCGACTTATTTCTCTTTAATAAAATTTCAAAGTTCAATGGGACATAATTGTTCAAACAGAAACAATATTTTGGCATCATTATTATACCCTCAAAATATCATAAACCTGAAGGCATTTCATTGTTAACTACTTTTCATGGTAAATCTATTATCACAATAGGATTGGACATTCAAATTTTTACTATATTAGGTCTTGTCCAACTTGTCATGTTGAAGTAGCAATATCACAGAATCATATATATAAATTATTAAGAAAATTATCTGACATCCCAATAAATAACTTTTGCATTAAGTTAGTGTAGCTTTGCAAATGAAACAAACACCTTCAGTAGGCACCAATTCCAAGTACCTCTAACTATCCAAACAGTTCTCTGCACTGTGGTAATTCTAATTCCTATAATTTATTTATCTCAGGATACACTCCAAAGCATTGTTTGCATGTGTTATTCACTAGCTTTTAAAAACAGTATTCATTATCGGGAGGGAACAGAAGCAACTCATCAGAAAGATTTGTTGCAGTGATGTTTGTGCTGAGGAACATTATTTGGCAAACATTTATAGCCTGATGTGTAAGAGTTGTGAGGATTCAAGATTTAAGTCATTTACTTCAAAGATCCTCCCAAGAGCCACACTGCAATCACTGTAACAATTCCAAATTTCATTCTAGATGCCCGTAAATACTCAAATTGGAAAGAAACCTGTAATTGCCCAGTGGATATTTCAAATACACTTAACTTTGCTATTTCAAGCCACAGACACCAAATGGACACAAAGGTAATGCTCTTAATTTTCATCAACTTATCAAAGCTGAGGTTTTAAAGTGATGAATCTCCTTGTTCTTGGCACAAACCATCCCTGACAATTTAGAGAGCTGAAAAAGAGTCTTTGAGCCAAAGTATCAGACCACAAAAAGAATGTCACTAAGCTCTTACCAATTGTAGGAGCCTCTGAAATTATCAGAAATGCTGATGTCAAGTTTTATGTTTCAGGTCATTCAAACAGTTAGCGCCATGGACAAAGATGATCCCAAAAATGGACATTATTTCTTATACAGTCTCCTTCCAGAAATGGTCAACAATCCGAATTTCACCATCAGGAAAAATGAAGGTAAATATATTAGCTTTGTGAAACAGAGTACAATATAAATTGGAAAACAGGTTGCAATTTCATAACATAACTGAAAATATCATTATAATAATTTTTGTTTACCCAGGAGCACTTGAAATTCAGCTTATCAGTGTAATGGCATGATGATTACCTTACTCCCTATTTTCAGTATTTAAATAATAGATAAGAAAACTGTTAATATAAAAAGTTAATTTTATTCCAGGAAATACCTCAATCACCTTACTTTAAAAAATGAAAAGTAAAATGTAACCCCTTGAAAGCATCCAGGTATTTTGAGATACTGAGATACCCTGAGAGAAAAAAATTGGCTTACACTTTGCAATTGTTAAGTTTTAATTGAATGTTTACCAAGTCTTCAGGGAAAGGTTTTCTAATTTTGCCTAGTTGGTGGGTACACATTAAAGGTATTTGTTTTAAGCCTGTACCAACTTCAACAACAACAATTAGATCAGAAAATCCTTTTTGAAGGACATTTCTTATCAGTATTATTTTGGAGCTAATATAAACTGATTCATTAAGTTTTTCACTCACTGAGAATGTTCAATCCATTTCATTAGATTTTCTGAGGACCAACCTTGGATTGCTGTTTTCTTTAACTATATTGTTTATTACATATGAAAGCCATAGATCTTTGTTTAAAGTCTATCTCATTTGAACATTTTTGTTTCCTAAACTGCTGTATATTTTAAAATATTTTTTAACTTGATTTTTTTGTTTAAATATATTTAAGTCTTAGTTGCAGCTGTTTTAAGATGATTAGCAAAATATAAGTAGTATCTCGGGCTTTTTTCTGGCTTTTACTGCAGGTATCTGTTTGGGTCTTTCAATAGTTTGCATATGCACTATACTCAGAAGAATAAAATTTGATTCATGATATCTGTTTGTATTATATGTGATAATCTGTTTAAAAGAAGTAGTGAATATTGACAAAATTTCTTTTATGAAATAAAATAACAGTTTTATGGCTCATGCTAAATATATTACGGTCTTGCCTTTTAATAAAATGTTATATATTCTTTGGGGATGCTTTGATAAATGTGGATGAATCACTAAAAGGAGATGACAGTCATTATACGGATATTACCTATTCAGCTGACTTCCACTATTATAAACACTAAGGAGACAAAACCTTTTCTTTCTCCTCAATAATGGGCTATTCATTTTTTAGCCATCCTGATTAGAAACTGTCATCAAGTACATTGTCTTTGTTTTCCTTATTAACACCATCAATATTTTTTAATGGATATCATGTGAATATTTCTAACACAAAGCCTCTTTCGAAACCCCAAACTGAACTGGAAGTCTGTGCATAAGTGTGGTCTATGTTTATTCTGAGTATAAAGTAGTAAGTAGCAGTCATTATTTTTGCATATAAAATGCCCTGCTATTAAAATTCTCCATGAAGAGGTTATTTCCTATTCCAAATATTCAGAGATCCTTAGTGCTTCCTGTAGATTTTGTAATTTCAACATACGCTTGTTGTAAGTGTGACCCTGGAAGGCATCACATAATGTATTGGGTGAATGGGAAGATACTACCGGGTATCAGGGAAAATCTAGTTTTGACCCATATTTATTATGCCCTAATATTTTTAAAGACGAGATTTATTTCTACAATGAATGTATTTTATGTGTTTTCTCAAATTTTTTGAAATTAGTAGAAAGTGAAAGTTTAAATACTTAGAATACTTTATTCTGCTTCATTCCACATTTTATAATAAAACCTGTAACAGAATATTTAATGTCATGTTAATTACCTGTTTCATCTAGAAACAGGAAAATAGAAGTTAAAATTATGATCTATCTTACAGGTTTTTCATATTATTTTGTTTTGCATTTTTTTTAAAAGATGTCAGTTACTATTGAAAAATGACTTGAAACAGAAAGAGCACTCCATACATCATGATTATTTATTTTAGATTGTGTTTATATATTATACAAAGAGTGACCATGTAATTTATTGTCTCTACTGAGACATGTTTTAAAGTGAGAGGGGTCGTTACTTATATTTATGTCTGAAAAACACCATAAACCAGGACTGTCTTATGGAAAGCAGGACTTATGTTCACTATGATTTTGGATTTAGAATTCAAATATTCAACATTCCTTTCACAAAATAAATCATGAAACCACAGGTTTGAAATAGATATATAAAGTTCATATTCTTATGTTCCTCTTCCTAGATCAGAAATTCATGAGTTTTGCTTCATAGTCCACTACTTATTTGGCATCCAAATACATACAGTAAAAACAGAAAAAAAATGATCTTGTCTTAATATGTGTATATATATATATATATATATATATATATTTGTAGATAGATACATAATAAATAGATATCTTGTGTGCCTATTGAGAATTCATTGTCAATAATGACAGAACACAAAAACTACCATAAAAATCAAATTACTAAATATGATTTACTTTAAAACTATGGCATATTGTATGTTGGAAACACGGAGAGATAGAATCAAATGGTATAGCCATATTTACAGTTTTTATTTTCCTCCTTAAGGCGAATTTCAAAATGGCCAGTGTCTGATGCTTCCTCACTGAGAGAAACATGAGTTACAAGTTCTAGCCTACCAGAAATATGTGAAAATGCTGAGAGAGATAATATAATCAAACCTACAGTTGATGAACAAGTTTGCCTCCTATTTCATTTGATCCTTAAGGGAGATGATTTTGTTATTTGGCATTTTCTAAGGAACTTGCCACCATATATTTCATTTCCAAATTATTTTTATTTTTCTCCTCTCATATAGATTGGTCACAATGCAATTTCTATCAATTTATTCACAATAAAAGACAAAATGAGATAGAAATTACCTCTCTCTTGTTTCCTACACAGTTGAAGTATTTCACAAATTATTCTCCTAAATATATGAGAATCATATTTCTGCCAGAATAGGAAAGCAAACCTCAATATAAATAGAGGTAGAGAAGTAAAGGTCAAAAATACAGCAAACCATTTATACCATAGGTACCTACCAAAAAATCAAAGATCCTTGAATATGATCCAGATAATGGTTTCTTCATCTTCCAGTTGGCTGAATTTATAAGCAGAGAGTTTTGTTGACGACATTTCAATATTGGCTTCCATTTCAACCATGGAAATGGAAAACAGCTAACAATTACATATCACAAGGCAGAGAAGAAAAAAAGGGACCTTTTAGAGATACTGAAATATCTTGTTTGCAGGAAATTTGAGGTCTGCAGAAAACTACCCTTCTTCAGCCTGAATACTGCAGGTAAAAATGTGATACAAATTGCCAGAGCACCATCTGGCGAAATGGGAGCTTTCATGGTTTATACTGAAATGCTTAAATCATGTGTGTAGAGAAATGAGAGAAAACGTAAATCTCTGCTCTCTAAGGAGAGCCTATGGTAAGAAGAAAAATAGACAGTGGGCTTGGACTTAGTTGTAGCTTGGTTATGTTTAAAATTCCAGCAGGAGAACCATAGTACCTGATGATAAGAATTTGTTTTTCCTTCTTAACATCCCTCATTGACTGAAATAGTATTAATAAGAACCTTACTTTAAACACATACTTTTGATAATTAATTTGAATCATGTAGATGCTAACCATTGCTTTGGAATAAACATGACTTGTGTTAGCTCATTGTTAACTATGTTGTATAACATAGTTACCTGTGTAAAAAAATATTTATGCATTACCTGACGGATTTCTGTCTCAATCGATTGGCCTACTACAAATGGTATACAATTTATTTGTGTTTGTATCCTGGAAGTATCCCTTGCAAGAATACTCTTACTTTAAGGAAACTGTTTTAAGCCTCGGTTTTCTCATCTGGAACACCAGGATAAAATACCTGCCTCATATTTGTGCTGTGATGGATATGTATGAGCTACGACTTAGACAGCAATTGGCACAATGCCTGGCACATAGGAAAACACTCAACAATAAGTGGGATGAGGTCCCTTTATATGAATTCCTTAATTCTTTCTCATACTATGTTATATCTCCTCTGGCTTATCATGCTCAGCCAGGTCTCTTTGAAGCTTTAAATCTTCAGAATTATAAACCTTGTGCAGTAATTTGAACGTGGCTTCATCAGTAGTTGGGAAAGCACTGATCCTTACTAGAATGCATTGCAAAAATTTTGCTTATGCAGTAACTGCAATGCATTGCATTCTAAAGGGTATTAAAATAGAAAGACAAATAAAAAAGAGGAAGAGGAGGAGGAATAACTGAAAGTATTTATCTACCGCAGAAATAGTTTCAGGATTCCTGGATCTGGTTTTGAATATGATGACTTTTTTTTTTTTCTTTTTTTAACCTTTCTCTATCTCCATTGCCAAAATGAAACTCAGGTTTCTCCACACAATGGTAGCTTCCAATTGTTGAGATCACTTTCAATTCCAGCATACAAAATTGTTCTAAATTGCCTCCAAACTTCCATCCCTCCCTGCAAATACACATACTCTGTGGAAACCATTTACATAGCTGGAAAATTACAGACAGGCTTCCTTTGCATTTTTGACTACCATCAGCCTATCTCAAACTTCCCTTGTCACAAAACCAAAATTTGCTGCCTGAAAGTGGAAGTGGATTTTCCTGATTCCGATGCCAGCCAGAGCTGATGCTCTGTCCTCCCTCTTCTCTCTAGCTGAATTTTCAGGAATACTTTTTCTGTATGTAGGATGTAGGTTTCAAGGCAGACAGTCATTCTGTCCTCTGCCTAAGCCAGGCATACCTATACAGGCTGGATTGTAATTGAAGGAACTACCTGCTGATGTATACAGCAAGGAGGGCCAGCTGGCTGAGCCAATTGCCCTTTTTCTGGCCACCTGAGTTTTCCCTAAGTTCTGCTATTACAACAGGCTGCTTGGAGCTGACAGAAGGATTTCCTCAAAGAAATATGTCTGTCCTTAAGCCGTCGTTATAAAAACATCCATACCCTCTCTACAGCAGACCCATTATTATTGGGTTTTCCAGGCAAGCCTTCCCAAGCAAC